TGGGGAACTGAACATACACTTGGAAGCACGAATTGACACGTTTTTCTGGGCGAACCGTTCCAGGAGATTAGTGAGGCGGTCGTCATGTTCGGCTTTCGTTGCACCAAAAACAATGATATCATCTTGGTACGCTAGGACGCCATCAAGTCCATGAATGACTTCGTCTATGGCCGCCTGGAATATGCCGGATGATGTGTGGAGACCAAATGGTAGAAAGTTGTACTGGTATAATCCCCATGGTGTATTGATCGTAGTGAATTGGCGGCATGCAGGATCAAGAGGAATCTGGAGGTAGGCATCAGCCAAGTCAATCTTCGAAAAATATGTGCTGCCATGTAAAGCTTTCATGAAATCTTCTGGTTCCATGGTAGTAGTCGCACACTTTCGCAGCCGGGGGTTGAGTGTTAGTCTGTAGTCACCACAAATTCTTGGTGTCTTACCATCACTTTTCATTGCGATCACAATTGGTGTTGCCCACGCGCTGGATGTTACTCGAGTGAGGATGCCGTCATGCTCCATTTTCTCAAGAGCTTTCAATACACCTTCACGTTGGCCATAGGGAATGACACGGCGTTTCAAAAAGACAGGTTCTCCCTCAACTTCCAGTTTGGCCGGTCGAACTTTCATGCCTCCTGTGTTATTTGAACATTGCACAATCAGTCGCTGTAGACGGGTGTGCACATTGGGCAGGGAACTCGTATGGAGCGATATAGAATGGTTCAGAGCGCGAATTGCAGTTAGGCCAAGTATGGATGGACTCNCCATGTAAAGCTTTCATGAAATCTTCTGGTTCCATGGTAGTAGTCGCACACTTTCGCAGCCGGGGGTTGAGTGTTAGTCTGTAGTCACCACAAATTCTTGGTGTCTTACCATCACTTTTCATTGCGATCACAATTGGTGTTGCCCACGCGCTGGATGTTACTCGAGTGAGGATGCCGTCACGCTCCATTTTCTCCAGAGCTTTCAACACATCTTCACGCTGGCCATAGGGGATGACACGACGCTTCAAAAAGACAGGTTCTCCCTCAACTTCTAGTTTGGCCAGCCGAACCTTCATGCCTCCTGTGTTATTTGAACATTGCACAATCAGTCGCTGTAGACGGGTGTGCACATTTAGCAGGGAACTCGTATGGAGCAACATAGAATGGTTCAGAGCGCGAATTGCAGTTAGGCCAAGTATGGATGGACTTCTTTTCGCAATAAGGAAGCGGATTGGGACAAGGCGATTTTCTGTTGAGTGAACCATCAATGAAACCTCGCCAATCAATGGTAATTGGTGTCCAGTTACACCAAGAATTCGCACGGATGTCGGTTGAATTTTTGCTTGGGGGCATATGGATCGAAGCACAGCATTAGAAATAATAGATTCCTTACTTCCAGTGTCAACAATAAATTTGTGAGTTGTACCAGATTGTAATGTCAAATCTCGGTACAGAAATTGGGTGGCTGGGCCTTCAGAACGTAGAGAGAGCACCAGGTGTGTGTCGTTTGAAGCATCTGGTCGTGTAAGATTGCAACGAGTTTGTTTACATACTCTCCGAATGTGGCCAATTTTTCCGCAGGCATGACATTTGGCATTACGAAAGCGGCAATTGGAGCGTAGGTGGTGATCTCCACAAGACAAACATGGATTGATTCGTTTTTCGTTACCTGGGGAATCTTTCTGCGGCTTTGGTGCACGTTTGGCCGTTGGCGGTCGGTTCGGAGGAGTCTTCTGCCGTTGGAATAATGTGACTGCTTCACTGGAAGTAACTTTCATCAAGTCATCATGCTGTTCACAAATTTTCCGGGCTTCGGCAAAAGTTAAATCCTTCTTTTCCAGTAACTTGCGTTGCAGACTGAGATTGTTGATGCCCGCTACCAAGCGATCACACATCTGTTCTTCCAAACGATCACCGTAGTTGCAGCGTGATGCCTGTCGGTTTAGCTGCAGGATGAAATCACGGCAAGACATGTGGTCATCACGGATCATGGAATTGAATTTAGCACGTTCGTGGGCTTGGAATTCAGTAGGCAGCAGGTGGTTGAGCAGGAGCGATTTCAAGGACTCGTATGGTAGTTTGGCGGGAACTTCGGGAAATGCCAGGTTTTTCAGCAGCGAATACAAATCACGGCCGCCAGCAGTGAGAAATAGGGCGGATTGGTTTTGCACACCACCTTTTCGAATACTGCACCACAGTTCGAATCGCTCTACCCATTCCTCGATCTCAGATGGACTGGCTTGCAGGTTCAATTGTTCAATACTTGGAAGCTCCATTGCGCGACGCCAATTTGTAATGATAATGGAAGTAGTAGTAGTGAAGTTACGCACAGAATTCAGGACACGAACTACGCAATCGGAATCACGGAACACGAATTAGAAACCCGGTGGAACTGGACCGCAATGGCTCG